TTCCGACATATGCGCAGCTTGCCCTGGTGTGTTCCCTTGGTCATCGAAGGTTGCGCCGACCACCACTGGAACAGGCAGCTTGAGCCGCCGCCCCAGCCGCATTGGCCGCATTGCCGGACTCGCTTCAGAGCTGACACATGCTGGTGCAACATCCGTTGATCCTTTGGCACAGATACATGTACCATGTCTACCTTATGACTGGACACGAGCTACGTTTCAACGTCTCATGCTACTTTCCTTCATTAGGGTACGAGGTATGTGCCCATGAACGTGAAGATGCATCTGCGCAGGTGCATCTAGAGTAAGCATGGCAGCAGCCAGTTTTAACATGATGGATCCGGCTACCGCATTTCTTGTGCGCGCTGGGCACAGGCTCGCCGCAAGCCAGCCGCGCTTTGCATGCAGAGCCAGTGCACATCGAAAGCAAGTCTCCGAGGCGGGATCTAAGAGTGCCTTGGCGGTCCTTCTCGGCGCTGGCGCCGGTGCGCTCGGCTCGTCACGGATCCGGTCACCCGGAAGGCTCCGGTCAAGATGCCCAGGCGCACGCACGCAAGGCAAGCACAAGTTGCCCAAAGTAGTGATGGCCTCCACAAGCGGGCGTGAGGCCCGTGAGGCCATCCGGCAATGCCTGCGAGAGAACCGTACGATGCCAGTGCTCCAAGCTTTGCCCGAAGACTCTCTCCAGCAAATTTTGGATAGCATGACACGGATGGAGCTGGAGCCGGGCACGCACATATTTAGGAGGGGTGAGCCTGTGGATGCTGTGTATGTCGTGGAAAGTGGAGAGCTCAGCGTCTTCAAGCGCCTCCAAGAGGACGACGAGGAAGAAATCGAAGCAACGACGTTAGGAACAGGAAGTTACATTGGAGAGCTGGGCCTTTTTTATGATCGGACCTGCATGGAATCGGTTTGCGTTCGAGGAAAACAACCCGCAACAGTTTGGCAGCTCTGCCGAGAGGACTTCTTCAGCATCATCGACAAGCTTGCGAACACAGACGACGATCCCGGCTGCGAGGTCGATCCTGACCAGATGGATGAAGAACCAGCTGCGATCTTTGCGGTTTCGGACGGCTCCGGCTATTCTGCAGGAGGCGCTGTGACCCTGGCCCTGAAGCAGTTCGAGTACAGATATCGGAGCAACTGTCAGAGTGTCGGCACGACCACCTTTCCATACATTCGGTATAAACCTGAGATACTCGAGATCACACGGCGAGCTAGGGAGGAAAATGCGCTGGTTGTCTATACGTTGATGCGCGAAGAGCCTCGCCAAGCCATCATCGAGGAACTGCAGAGACCGACAAAGCCTGGAGAGAATGAGTCTCTTGGATTGAGTACCCTGTCAGTTTTTGCTTAAGGCTGGCGCTGGAATTGCTGGGGCTCTGAAGTTTTGCCGAAACGGGTCCCGCTGCCCAAGTTAGCAGGCTTCGTGCGGTGGACCTCTACGAGCCACTGCTGGCGGGAAGAGGGAGACGAGTCGCAAGCTTTCCCTTGTTCCTGTGTGGATTGTCCCTGGCGCAGGCATCCATGGAGGAGTTGCTGGGCATCCCCAGGAAATCCGAGGCTGCTGAAATCTGACCAGCCTCTGGTGGAACGGCCCTGACACTCGAGAGGTGCGCTCTGCACTGCGCTCACGGCTGTCGGAGGATTGCATCAACATGGTGGAGGCTCGCGTCTTGCTGCGCATGTTCAGAGGCTAATTTTTGCTTGGAAGGCCATTGAGTTCACCCGCAAGCTTGATGACGGTATGCACCCAGAGCTGTGGTCCGAAGCCGACCCGAGCTTAGCGACACGCTGAGACGTCTCACATGCACCGCTGGTGTGTGATCCACGTTGCTCTGCGGATCGAGGATATTATTCTTATCGGCCTTTCTCGCGCAGGCAAAACACCACTAGCGACAGGGCCCCAGTCTATCCATTTCGCATCTCTCTTGTGCAGGCTATGTCCAAACTGAGGTTCTTCCTGGCCCAGCGAGGTTTCAAAGTGGCAAACTATCCCGTTATTCCGGGCGAAGATCCACCGAAACATCTGTTTGATCCAGCTATTCAGCAACACGTCGACAGAGCTACAGCCAGGCACTCTGCAGTTCTTGCTGGCATGCAACTGCCGCCAGCCAAGGCACAAATGTGTCGCGCTGACAATCCAGGCTCAACGTTTGCATGCTGTCCGCTCGGCCCGCATGTATCTTGACTTGACGAAGTGTGCGGCTCCTGAATGCCGGTGGGTTTGTCAGTTTTCTCTGTCATCGTGCCGTGCTTCTACTACCATCGCATCCACATTTCAATCTCTGCTAGACTTTTCGCAAGCTAGAGGCTTTTCCACTGCTGTATTCTCATTGTTATCGAAACTGTCCCTGCTTTTCAGCTTGGCTCGTACGCAGACAGTCAGGTTAAGGCGGGGTCTGCAGGGGTCAGGATTCGAGGGTGTTTGTCCTCGCGTGATGCAAGGAAAGACTACGGGAGGGAGGAGTCGAAGCTGCTTGGCTTTTTATTCCCGAAGGCGTGGCGAAGGGGTGTTTCAGTGGAGCTGGTTTGTGAAGGTGCCTCTTGGATCGATAGTCGTGAGGTTGCATGGCATGATGTAAGGTCTTCGAGAGATTGGCCCTCAGGTTTGCGTGAGGTTGGTCGGCCTTCAGGTTGTCGTGAGGTTGCATATCTCATTAGCAGGAGTCGCCATGCATGGAAAAATAGCGCTGTGTGCGTGGGGCCGTGACCGAACATTGACAACCATTCATTTCGGTGGACGCGGCGTGTCAGCATCTTCCGGTCAGTCCGATCACGATCCATTGTAAGTTCCAATTTCGAATCGTCATGACAACCCTGCACGTGTGGTGCCGTGGTGCTGTTGGCTGAGAAATGGGTGAACTATCCTGGAACCGCAACGCGTCGGCAATGCGTGAACTATCGGAAGTACTTTGGTGATAAAGTTTGGTCGTGTCTCCTATGGGCAAGCATTTCAGCCGTGCTCCTGATTCCCGCCAGTACTGCTCTTAAATCCGGCCAATGCACGTGGGGACTCATCATAGGTGTGTTAGAAGCATTTCCAGAAGCATGTAAAGACGGCTTTATACAAAGTTGTTTTATAAAAGGCTGGGTAGAGCCTGTGTTATAGAAGGATTTATAGAAGGGTTTAAACAATGATTTTCAGATGCAGGAGAGGGTCGTCTAAAAGGTTTTATAGAAGGGCTTCATCGTAGGGTTTATAGAAGGGTATAGGAAGGGTTTATGATTGATAGATAGGGATGAATGACTGGATGCATGGATGAGATCTCGCGTCTCTGTTCGGGTTGTCCGGAGCCCCGTGACTTTGAGGTATGCCTCGATGGAGAACTGCAAGAAGGAGGCCCGCGGAGCCGAAGCAGAAAGTGGAGTTCCTAAGTTGGTGCAATCCTTGACAGGTGCTCTGGCTGCAGACCTTCTACATGCGGCAGCTCGGATGCAGCTCGCTTTGCTGTGCTCTGAGAACTGGCTCTGTCCGAGCGCAGGAAGGGTCCTCATTGGACGGTTCTGGACACCACGAATGGTGGTGTAGAGGAAACAGCTGCAAAGGCCAGCGGCCAGGACTCAGCGAATCGGTTCCCTTGCTTCGGATCTGCGACGCTTCTCAAGGTGCTCAAAGTCTTGCAGCAGTTGAAGGGCGTCAAGCATGCAACTGGGCAATTCGTCAACCCTTCTATGGAGTAACCTGACGTGCGATCGCCTCGCTTTTGGGTCCACACGGCGACTCGAAGGCGTCGTTTTGACGTCCGCATCTCGAGCAGCCGAGATAGTCGCGTACTGGAGTCTCCTTAGCAGCTTGGCCCAATGGCCGTGCACTCTCTGACCTGTCCCGTGCTGGCATGTCCTGAGTCGGCAGCCATCCCTTCAACAGAGGGCTTTTGAAGGCTACTGGACTCTGATAATTGGCAGTTAGCTTCTTGCACTCACTGTAATATCATCTGGCAGCTGGCTGATACGACAAAGCGTGTCAGCTCTTGTGTTATCAAGGATCTGAGAGGGAGCAGTGCCGTGCCGTGACTCAAAGGTGGCCTCTGGGAGTGGCAGCGAGAGCTCGAGGCCTGACGCGCTTGAGGGGCGACAGCTGAGCGGTCTCCCCGTCCTTGGTTTGGTTTGTGCGGGAGGTGTTGGCGGGACGTCTCTCTCGCGGGCGAGCAGATGAGGCTGCAAGACCTAAAGAGACCCCTTGCGGCCATCCAAAGATGCAAAATCCTTAACGCCCGAAGCCCTTGATGTGGTGGAGGCTGCGGCAAGCAGGAGGGCAGCCGAGGAAGCCGAGAGGTGCGAGGGATTCTGTCACGACTTTCGTTTGCAAGGGCTCCAGTGGCTGTTTCAGGCTTCTTGTTGAGACAGCTTGCCTAAGCCACCTCTGGCTGTACTGTTTCAATCGTTTGTGCACTGTTGAGGGTCGTTCCACCAGCGGGTGACTGAAATTGATCGTGTGCACCGTTCGCACAGTGTACGCGAGGCAGCCTGTGTAAAGTCCGATTGACAGTCCATATGCTTGCCTGCCCGGCAGCTTATGTTTAGTGGTATCAAACCTGTCAGAGGGCGGCGCTTCAGCGAAGCCAAGAAGCCGAGCGGCGCTCTTTGATGGCACAGACCGAGGAGAGCCCGGGCCTCGAAACGAAAAGTTATTTTTTTCCCCACGGCCTTGGATGCAAGGCCAGGCTCTGCAGCAGTTCTTGTCGGGTTGGCACCATTCGCAGGAGGCCGCCAGCTAAAAGCAAGTTCGCGTTCCATTCACAAACAAGTGCATGGCTTGATCACTTCTCGTTGAAGATTGCTGCATCTTGCTGCATCACGGCTCAGACATGGACTTTGGACGATCAGCCTCACCCGCTGCAACGGGGCTACATGTGCAACGGCGAGGGATGCACCCCAATGCAGAAGACAATGGCAGAATCTTTCTGCCACAGAGCCCAAAGCCAACAACAAAAGATATACCGAGTCGACTCTTCACCAAGTTTCCTGCTGACGACATGATGTACAACTTGTGCCGGCAGATGGCACCACATCTTGCAGACCCTCAGGCCCATATTTTCCACTGGCTGTGAGACACAGACACTGCCCAGGCTACAGCGATGCAAGTATCACATGCTGGAGTCTTCTACCCTGTACAGTAAGGTTCCGGAACACATGGACGTCGAGCCGTGGGCTCCGCTGTCCCGAGCCGGAGGCTCGCTGTCGCGGCTGTTTCATGCAAAGACGCAGATGTGCATCGTTGACATTATTGAGGCACCTGCCAAATGGAGCGAAGACCTTCCGTGCTGCCTCTGCCGCCAGCGAAGCGCCGTCGCGCTATCACTTCTGCTGCTGAGCTTCGTATGGAACGGTACAGTTTGGTTGTTTCTTTTCCTGCGGGCTTGCCCGGTACTACCTTGTCGCTCTGTTCACGAGACTTGGGTCTCAACCAGCGGGAACGAAGAAGAAGAAGAAGCAGAAGCAAGGAAATAGTAGCAGAAGGAGAGGGTCAATTGCAGGACACACAGGACATACTGATGACGATGGGCAGAAGTTGCACAAAGGAGATCCAGGAGTGCCAAGGAAGAAGTTGCCACTTGGGAGACCTCACCCGGCTTCTGGGGACATCTCGGAGATAGCCCGGCCTAGTGAGTACTTGTGAGCAGGCTGGCCCTGTGCCTCTTACACTGCAAACCATGAAGCCTACCAGACAACTCCATGCTGAAGCCTTTCACGTATCGGTGGACCGGCCATATGCCGGAATGTGAGCAGTCTCGAGTCCAAATCTTTGCGAGGTTGCGAGACAGTCCAGTTGGCAGAGCTGCGAAATGCTGGGCACGGAAATTGATCTCGGGGAGCTTTGGGTGCGTATGCTGTGTTTCGAGGACTGCAAAGAGAAGTGCATGTAAGCAACTCAAAGCCGCACGTCGCCACATTCACACCTGGGCCGCGCTTGATGAGGAGCACTGGCTCAGCCATGACCTGGAGCTATATTCGCACAGGTCTCCGGTGGGCCTGCGCCTGGGACGTGAAGAACTCTAAGGGCCAGTTCCAGTGCTGCATAATTTTTTTCGCCTTTGGTACCAGTGCCTGCAGGCATCAGCTGGGGCAAGGCGATCAGCCAAGCTGAACTTCGCATGCACTGCGAGACATCTGGGAGACGTCTGGCGGCCGACGGGGCAACGTGCGCGGAAAAAGCTGCAGCGACTGAAGTGCAGACAGAGGAGGGGCTTGTAACAGCAGATGCTGGCTCTAGTGCCTGGAGGCTCGACTGGAACTTTTTGCACAGCAGCTCAGCCACCTAGAGCGTCGAGTGGACCAGGACAGCTTTTGGGAAGGTCGGATTTCGGATTCGGTGTTTTCAGAGATGAGGGTGCTTTGTGAGGACAGTGCGCAAGTTGAAGGCGCCCAGCGCCGCCTTGAGGCTCCGTGGCCTCTGCAGGTTGTGACGGCAAGATATGCTCGGCTCCGAGGCACAGTCTGTGCGCTTTGAAGACCTCCAGACCTCGGTCCAGGCTTCCGAAGTCTATTTCAAGACAGCACAGAGAGAGCTGATGGCCACTTGATGCTCCTTGATGCTTGGGCCGTTTTGTCTCCCTCGCAGCTTATCGGCTCAAGCCGAACCCAGGTCCCCTCAGCTCTGGAGCCGCAGGCTCCCGCGAGCTGTAACTCGGATCCAGTACTTACCGGCCCTTCAGCGGCTCAGCGTCTTCATGCTGCCCGTCTTCTCAACTCGCAACGAAGGTTTTTTCTGCGGAGCGGACTGGAATCGAGGCTTGTTTGCCTTGTCGGAATGTCTATGCAGAGGTCTTGGTCTGTGGTGCTGAATGTGGCACCAGCCTTTGCAGGGTTCCATGCTGGTGCGCTGCGTCCCCCTGGCCCTGGCTGCTGCTGCCGCATCAGCGGAAGGCGAGATGCACCGCATCTCTGCCGTGATCAGAGTGCCCTGACACCGACACGCGTTTTGCATGTTTGCAGGCTCGCTGCCGGCCCGCCAGCTCATGCGTGCAGAGTTTGATGCGAGGAAAGCGTGTCCTGCCACAGGGGTTCGATGCAGGAACCGGGCGTGCCGTGGTAGATGCCAGTAGATGCTGCATGTATCAGGACTGATGCAGACGGGACGGTCAGACTTCTGGACTCTTACATCCGGCAGGCCAGCACTTGTGTGGCACGTTGCTGAGCAGGCCATACATTGAGCCGCGTGTCACCGGATTGTTTCAGTGCAGGTGGTCAATGCGAGTTGCTTGGCCGCCTTAAGCGTGTGGAGCTGCCAGTCTCCAGTGTGGTTGGACGACAAGTGCAGTTGCACCTCGAGTGAGGCAATTTGGCAGCAATGGACTGCTCAAACATGGTGCTGCACAACACGGGGTTGCTGCTCGACAGTGGGAAGAAGCTGCTCATGGCATGAAGCCGGTTTTCATGCCAACATCTGAGGTCGGATCTTCTTCAGGGCGACTGCGTTCGATCCAAGGCCGAATGTGGCTCCGCCTACTGCCCCAACGACTGGGCCAGGAGCTCAGGGGAGCTAAAGGAAGCTCTGCTTTGTTGCGCAGCTCTCCTCGCTTGTCTTATTGAGGTGAGCTTTGAGGTGGACTACTCGGGACAGAAGGTGATCAAGTCTGAATGCAGAGTGCAGGCGGAAACAGCGACTTGTCTGGCGCGGTTTGCGTCGTAGTTCTCTCACGGATGCCATACCATGCCCAGCTGCCTTGGTTAAGGAATGTGGGGTAAATTGCAAGTCCCGGAAAGCCGGTGAAACTCAGCTGCAGAGTTAAGGATGTGTTTCTGGAAGCTTTTTGTGCGCGGGTGATGCTTCATGCACTGATCACGAAGGTTTGCAGCACAAGAAGTCGAGCAGACTGCGCCAAGCTTTGTACTTGTGACGTCCAGCGTCCAGAGAGGCGGCAAAAAGCACGGCTGCGGCGTGCTTCGCCGTTTCGAGGTGCACACGGCTTTGAGATGACCGGCTCCGTGGGCTATCTTTGCTGCTTGACTGCAGTTAGGGTCGTGTTTTGTTTGGTGTGGCCCCCTTGAAAGCCTGCTCCGGCGTTGATGGTTGCCCCAGGCAAATGGAACAATGGTGATGGAGTGTCTCGACGCTGTTTGTAGTTGTAGTGTCTTTTTGAGTCAGCAGGGTTTCAGATGCAGCGGGACGTCCATGCATAGTTTCTCAACTTCCGGACTTCCGGCCAGCTCACGCCGGCTCGATATTGTCGGGGTCGTTGGCAAGCCGAGGCCTGCTACAAGGCTGGAGCAAGTGATGAGGCATGGGTTTAGCAATGCTTGTGGCCCACTCTTGTTCCAGTTCTCTCTTCTCTTCCCTGTGCATCAGTGTTCTTGCGGCTTGGATGCGAGGCCGACTACCCTGAAAAGTTCCGGAAATGCTTCGTGACCCACAACTAGTGCCAACCAGAGCCAGTTGAAGGTAGGCTGTTGTCGATGGCTTCTGGAAATCTGGCCCGAACACCTCTTGATATATGCTCTTCGACTCAGCTTCGGCTGAAGCTTGGACCGTCTCACCTGAACTTGCGTGGTGGTGGGGGCGCAAACAGCCCCGGTTGCTCGCTGCATTTCTTCTCAGTCGTGCTGCACACCGGCTTCCTAGTCGTGCGTCCTGCAGAGGCCAGCTTGTCCGGCCTGTCAGCACGAGACCAAGGGAGCCATGTCGCCCTGCAATCTCCGAGCCTCTCAGTGCTCAGGAACGCTTGGACAGCGGCCATGAAAAGTTTACGTCAGAGATCGAGACGAAGTGCCAAGAGGCGATGCGTTTGCGACGGACCCGTCTCGATCCGTCTCGCAAGTAACCGCGAGGTCGATGCCGAGCTGTCAAAGCGGGCGGCAGAGAGCCAGCAGGCCTCCGGAGTCTCTCTCTCCCTCTCCCTCTCTCTCTCTCTCCCTCTCTGTCTCTGTCTCTGTCTCTGTCTCTGTCTCTGTCTCTGTCTCTGTCTCTGTCTCGGTCTCGGTCTCGGTCTCTCTCTCTCACTCACTGACTCAATGGATACCTACATGGCTGGCTGGATAGGGTGGACAGATGTAGGCAGGCCGGTGGTTAGGTAGATAGATAGACGGACAGCAAATAGAGCCCGGCATGTAAAACATGTATCTGTAATCATGTGAGCGACACTTGCGACATGCCGTGCGCTTCGTAAGGCATTGTCCGAGATCTCGGCACGACTGCAGGATGTTGAGGCCCGCAGTACCAGTACGTGTGCACATCAAGAGCAAGAAAAGCTCGGAGAGCAGCCTCAGTCGCACGGCGAAGCTGCAGCGCGGGGTCTTCGAGCCTTGGAGCCCTTCATCGAGCGGGTGACCTCCAGGTGCGGTCAACGCCGGCAGGCGGTCAAAGCGGCGGTGAAGGGGTCGCTGTGGAGTGCAGGCTTGAGGATGTTGAGCAGCTGCAGCCCGTCGTTGACAACATCAGGCCATCGCCCGTTCTTTTTGTGTCTGGTCTTAGTCCGTCGCAGCCAGGTCTGAGCTTTCCGCAGCGAGTGGGCGTCCCAGACTCTCCAGGCTCCGACTCTTACCACACCCAGACCAAGGCCAGATCTTGCGCACGACCATTGCTGCAGAAGGCAAGCGTGCAGAGGCGTGCCACAGACTACCTTTGCAAACTGCTGGAGCGGATCACAGACACGGAATGTGAAGGAAAGCCTCCAGACCTTGCGGGAAGATCTGATCTCTTGCCAGGCAGCATCTCCCGCCCCGCTGAATGTGCTCCGCCTGTGCAAGCAATGACATCGGCCGCTTTTTTGTGAGGAATCTGACAGACTCCGCTTGGCAAAGGACTTGCAGGATTGCCCACCCGAAGTCTAGAACACGGGCTTGCCAGGGTAGCCTGCAGTGCTTTTCTGCAGGAGGTGAGGAATCTCGCAGAGGCTTCGATGAGTTTCTTGTGCAGGGGGGATTGTGTGCATGCTGCATGCCTGTTTGTTTCATGGCTTTGCCGACTGGCTCGAGCTCCGCTCCATGGTGCTTTTCCTTAGCAGGCCTCTCGACAGGCGCCACCGGGCCACAGCCACCTCTGTATCTCTCGTTCTCGTTGAACCAGACTTGTGCAGGTGGGCCGCCGTGGCGCGGCAAGCTCTGTCGTATGGTGCCTCGATTTCACCTAGATCGGTGCTAGGGGGTTGGCTGTGACATCAGCTGAAGATTCGTGCAGCTTGCTGCCACGAGTTAGCAGGATCGGCGCTGCTGCTGGAAGCTTGTCGCGACTATTCTGTCGACTGTAATAAGATGCAAGATTTGACCCTGGTGCTTGTGCCGCATATGTCTCCCCTGATTCTGGAGCATTCCGGATGCTGAGGAGTCTGCTGCTGTGCCTGCCGATAAGTGTGAGCCTGGAGGTCGAGCCCGGAGATTTGATCCTTCTTCTGTCGGGATTGCGTGAATTCGCAAATCCGCACGAGGCGACCTCGCTCGAGGGATCCAGTCGTCCCTTGGCAGTACAGGCAGAGCTGCTTCGAGGAGCGTTTTTCCCCCCCTTTGCACAGGCCGTGACGCTTCCTTGGCCATCTCGTCCGACGGAGCTGTTCAAGGCAGCTTTGGGGGTGCCCACTCTTTGGAGGCTCGAGGATGCACCGTTTTGCAGGCTTGGTCAGAAGCCAGAGATGGTGGGCTCCCAGGGCGCCTCCCGACGAGAGTCGGCCACAGCCGCTGGCGAATACAGGAGTCTCGTTGCTATGCGAGCTGGTTCCGAGGGATGCCCTTCGGCAAGTGGCAGGAACTATAAATCCACTGAGCTGCTACGACACCTTGGTCAAAGCCCCTCGACGGCAGCAGAGACTTTCGAGCTAGCTTCAGACGCCACTGGAGCTGTGAGAAGGCGAAGATCCCGTGCATCAACTTCGCCAAAGTAGTCTGCAAGCCCTGGCAAGCAGAAGAATGTCAGTGTGACGAGAAGTGGGCCGCCTAGCTTGGCCCGAGAGTGCAGCATTCGCTCGCTACCATCAAAGCTTACTCGGAGGATAAAGCAAACACGGGGGCAAGAAAGAGATATTTCGGAGTCCGCGAGGGTGCACTGCAGAATAATCTTGCCGCCGCCCTCACTTTTTCACGAGACATGTCGAGAGCGCGGATACAAAGCTGCATTTATGTGCATCGCGCTGCAGCTCATGTGCACGGACGAAGGAATCCAATCTGCATTACGGACGCAGCCCAAAGATCATCGCCAGCATCTCCTGCAAATGGGCGCTCTGCCATAGCCACGCAATACGTGTCCTGGCAAAATGCAGCATGCTGCAAAAACGGGCTTCAAGCTTCCTAGCTGCCTCCACGGACACTGTTCCGCTTCGAGCGCTGAGGCATGCTGTCCAAAGCCTGCACCAGACGAAGCCGAGTGAAATCCTTTCCGTCATGCCGTGGAACTGAACAAGCTACAACGTTTCATGCACGAGATGGGCAGCTCGACTCTGCCGCGACAACTTGCAGAGCGGCCGAAGATGCGCAGAAGACAAGAGACAAAAAATAAATGCTGCCAGCCTTCCTCTCCGGCAGGTGAAAGCTCTTGCAGTTGCAGGAAGTCCGCTACAGCTGCATTGCGTGAGGCCGCATCGGAACGTGCACAAGAACTGGACGCTGCTCTTGTTTCCGGGAAGGAGGCAGGATGAGACTAGTCTCATACTCCACTGGCCAGGGAGCTCGGGACAGCCAGTCAGTGCAGCAGCGCCTTGTTTCTGCGCGAGCCAGGAGGAATCCCGAGCCCTGGAGCGGCTGCGAGAGGAGGCGGTGGCAGCGAACCGAAACATCCAAGCCGTCGAGGCGAGGCCGCGAGGATCCGCGAGTCGTTACCATCTTCCGGTCAAAGTTTATGGCCCAGTCCCGAAGAGCAGCTCAGCCTCTGCAGGCTCGCTTGCACGACTTGCGAAGTGGAACGGTGAAGGGCCCCAGTCGGGGGCGATCGGCATCTTGCGGCTGAGTTGTCCTGTTTGTGTTGCAGTGCGCCTGCACGATTCTGCTTCGGAGCTCAGGCGGCGAATCTGCAAGGCGGTTTCTGGGCGGTGCTATGAACTTTCGAAGTTCGCTCTGCCGCCCAGGCTCCGAGCAGCGACTCCAAGACCTCTTCAGAGAAGCGCCAGCGGCTTTCAAAAAGTGTTGAAGTGCCTGCGCTTGTGCATGCCTCCTTTGCTTCGCTTGGGCCGAGGCTACATGCCGCTACCGACAAAGCTTTTGCGCAGGCCCCCGTGCTAACAGGATGAAGGCGCAAGGCGCATGAAGCACAAGCAGATTCTTGTCGCAATTCTTGGTAGAGTCTCCGTGTAGAGACGTTGAGCAGCTTGACCGTCTCCGCTTGCAGGACCAGGTGGCGGGCGCCTAAAGTGATCCCTTGCTACGTTGATCAGTGTGGTGTTCTGCCTGCAAAAGCAACAGCTGAGGTCAGCAAGAGACTGGAAAGCGAACTACATGTTCAAATTGGGGCGGTGTCGGCAGAGATCAAGGAGCGTTCGTGGTCTGCATGATCGTGTTGGCCGAGCCTGTGTGCCATGAGAGGAGCTGAAGTCTGTGTCCATGGACAGTTCGGAGAAGTCGCGCTCTCGGACTCGGGGTGGCCGGTTTCCCATGTCTTCCCTTCTCGGCCCGAGGCTCCGCGCGGTGGAGCAAGAGTTCTCGACCCTGGCAGAGAAGCTCGAGCGGGTCAAGGGCCAGGCCGGACAGCGCTGTCCACAATCTGGAAAGTTGCGCTTTCTCAATCGTCTGAATCTGCGCTCAGGGCATCTCGCATCAGTGGAAGATCCCTCACTGTCTCCGAAGGCTTCGGTACCTGTCCTTGCATCAGACTCAGAGGAAGGGCAATATGGGTGGAGTCGCGTGGCGCTTGCGTGCCTGAGCTGAGAAAAGAGGCTGGCAGAACCTGGCCTGTGGCTGGACTCGGACCGCTTCTATTTGGGTGGACTGGGGCCGCCAGAAGCCCGGAGACAGCACAGACTGCACATGGCTCCCTTGAAGACTCATGCGATGAACTTGGTGCTTGGGTGGAGATCACTGCTCGCATGATGCAAAGAATTGGAGTATTCGAGCTGCGCGATGAGAGGAAACACCTCCCGCAAGGTCTGAGAGCAGTTGACAGTTGGTGCCGACAGCTTGTGAAACTTACCTCAAGTGGGGAGGGACAAGGTCTGTCCTGAGAGCTCTCTGCGGGAGCTCGGTCCGACTTGAGCTTAGGAAGCTTGTTTTGGGCTCTTTGGGCTATGCCCTCCGTGCTTGAATGATGATCGAAATTAGAGTCTTCGAGCCGCTCCGGCCATGAGACTAAACGACCTTCCCGCAAGGTCTGAGAGCATGGCTTTGATGGCTTGGGCTTGAAACCGTGGCGTCTTCCGGAAGCGGCAGAGGGCTTCCGTGACTTCTGCGCACCAGGCGCACAGCCTCTTGCACCGCTCTTGGCTGAGGTTGGAGATGCGGCTTTACGCCAAAGGGCTCCGAGGTGGCGACGGGCGATGGCCTCGCTTACCCCTACAGCACTTAGCAGACTTAGGAGTGCATTTGTTTACTTCCAGCCAACCCTCAGTTCTCAAGCTCAAATTTACTGTGCCATGCGATGTCTGACGTGAGACGATCGGATATGTTCGCTGATGGCATAGTCGCCTTTTGGGACTTTGTATCGGCCAAGGCAATGTTCGCTTGCCCTGCGCTTGCCTTCAGAGGCCTCAGTGATCATGCACGCGCGACTTTAAGTTTTCAGCTGTGTGGTATTTGCGAGGCCGCCGCAAAGTTTGCTCTCCCCATGATGGTAGACCTCACTGCCAGCCCGGCATGGACAACCTTGAGCTAGCTCTCCTGTTTGCGCATGGAAAGATGCAAGGTTGCAGCGCAGACCATTCGAGCTGGCCAAACCACAGACCCTGAAGGCCCTTGCTGGTCAGCTCTGGAATCAACAAGTGGACCTCGTACCGTGGTAGGCAGTGACTGCATCATCTGGCTCGCCGAGTCTCTGGGCATACTCGAAGATCATTTGGTCTCGCCCCCACAGCACTTCCCTTTTCGGAGAACATCTCGGCCATCTACGTACCTCTCAGGCTGATGAGCTCGCTGACTTGTCACTGGCGGCTGAGCTGCCGCAGCGTTCTCGGCGGCAGATTGGTAGTTGTTTCCCTTTTCCCCTTCCCTTTGTCTCGCGGAGGCTGCTGCCGGCACCAGCTTTGCTGGCCAGCTGCACGAGCTGCCCGACTTTGTCTCCTCCAGGGACCCGAGGACTGTCTTGGACGCTTTCCTTCTTGCGGCACTGCACGGCACTGCTCCTTCCAGATGACCTCTGCACTCTTGACGGCACCGAGGAGGTTTGCCGGATGTACAGTAAAGAGCGCTCAATACCCCAAACATATCGAAACGACGAGCTGGCAGGCTGCAGTGACTGACCCGCTGGCGACATTGTCGCTGGGGTCCTGGTGCCGGAAGGATCTCGGATCAGCTTCTTTGACAGGTCATATGCCACATATGAGTGTCGACAATCCTGTAAAGGTCAACGTCTCGGGCGAGAGATATGCGTGGGGTGGCGCAGGCAACGTTCAAACAGTTTCTGTCGGTGCAGACACAAGGGACAGGGCTTTGTTTTTGATGCATTGTGTCTCGTGGATACATGCCAGAAGGTCACCAATGTTGGGGCTCGTGTGCGACTTGCAGCTTGATCTTACACAACGGCACTTGGGTACATACATGTTCGGCTCACCTGGCAAATACTTACACTGTTCCACTGCTTGCGGTTTGTTTGGAGTGTCAGATGGGCGTCGGAAATTTGAATAAACAGACTAATTTCAGGCAGGCATCTGAAGGTTGTCAATGTTATCTCTCTCTCTCTCTCTCTCTCTCCTGTGCTATGGGTCAGCCTGCTGTCGTCCCGTTGTTTCTTATGGCCAATCAGTGATATCCGCGTGAGCCCTGGTTAAAACACAACGGTACGTACGTACATACATGCATGCATGCATTCACACAAAAATTACATACATACACATGCATACACACAGAGACACACACACACAGATGTACCGCTATGCACACACACACACACACACACGCACGCATGACCACTTAAGCACATGCATCCGTACATACATTCGTACATATGTACATACATACATACGTACATACATACATACATACATACATAAATACATACATACATACATACATACATACATACATACAAACAAACGTACAAGCGTACATACATACATACA